CGTGGAAAACACGATGAATTAACTTTATCGATTCCGTTGGGATCTAGCGGCGCTTCAATTCAAGTTCATTTCGAGAAATTCGAGGATACATTGTCCGTTTTCTCGTCAATCATGGATTGGCCATCAAAGTCAGATGAAAATGAGAGATCTGATCGTTCGCGCGAGCAGAACGAAAGGATATGAACGCAGGTGGTCTGAATTTTCCTGACGAATGGTAATGCACGAATTAGGCACCGATTTATGATGCACGCCCGCTACCGGTATCACAATTTACGATGGCGCTACGTTTATTAGCCGCATATGCCGCCACGGCATGCACTGCGTACGAACTTCTCCGCCTCGTAAATGTTACACCAGGCGCTGATTATAGTACGCCGACTAACCTTCCCGACGTTTAACCCAACGGTTTCATTTTCATCTGCCTGCGGAGCTCTTTACCAGATTAATTCACCCGGCGCGACTCGCGACGCGATTTAAGAGATGATCTCGCGCGTGCATTATACATATCCCGAGACTGGAAGTTGAAATAATTGTTCAAAACTTCGAAAAATGTTTTTCCTTTTCTTCTAGGTGAATTGATGTGATTGATAATTTTTCTAACGCTGATATGCACGGAAGATCAAGTACATTTTTCGATTCAGCTTGTCATTCTCTATTAAAAAAAAAAAAGTATTGAACCATTTATATTTTATAAAAAAGCATTGATCAAAGAGGTATTTCGACTGAAATTTTTTATTGTGATGCTTGTTCGCACAGTTTTGTGATCTTTAGGTGTTTTGTTTCTCAGACTATCACCGTTTGCCATTGGGTGACCAACTCTAAGATAACAATTTTTGAAGACATGCGTCAAATTGTCGAATAACGTATAAAATACGATGAATGAAAATTAGGATTGTGCGTAAAAGTAAATGTCAATGGTCGTCACTTTTTAGGTAGATTTTGTAACAATGAAAAAAATATTTATTTCAGTCTAATCGCAATAAGTAGTACTGTCAAATAATAATAGTCTACGAACATTATTCCGAATCATCAATTGAAATATCTCCTGAAACTGAAAAAAAAAAAACATCGAAAGATAATGATTAATATATCAGTCAATGTTCCTTTCATCTGTCCGAAAGAAAAATTTTTCGACGTAATTAATCGTTTCGACAAGTGTGTGTGTCTCATCCTCTCAAGAGTTAAAAATTCGAGTTTGGCGATTGCAACGTACGCCGGAGGATTAAAATTCACGGTTTGCAGACGCTTTCGAAGGGACGTTTCGTGGCTCTGCCAAAGAACGGAACGAACGTCCGCGCGTATCAAGGACGATAGATGGCCCGAAATAGTGAGAAATTGGGCGGCAGGATGCGAGCACGTCTCGTCTTCTTGTTGCGCGGAATACCTTCGGCAGTAATTATCGCGGTGGCTGGCTCTCTCTCTCTCTCTCTCTCTCTCTCTCTCTCTCT